GGAAAAAAAGGGAAAAAAAGGGAAAAAAAGGGAAAAAAGAAGAACCCCATGACATCAGAATAAGTTTTAATGCTCTGCATTACTAAAATCCTGTGAATTTAGCTCTCACCCACAGAAGGAATTGGGCTGAAAGCCCAACTGGTTACTACAATCTGTAAAAGCATTCACTGTATAACTCAATATAACATAAACACTTGGCTTGCTTAACTACTATATTAATACTGCTATACATTATAGTACACTATACTGTAGTGTATTTAGTAGTGTATATATACTACAGTATGTTCCCTGTGACGTTTTTTATTGAGAAAAATACTAGAGAAAGTTGAAATTGGAGCTGCTCAGGATTTTGTCACTAAACCTTTAAAACAGTCGTGAACGGTTTTGCAGACCCTTAATAAACTGCACATATGCATGTCCCATATATTGCCAGCATAATAGGTAGTATAAACAAACACAAATTCAGAAATCTATCGGCACAAAATACTTAATATGGTCTTAAATAGGCACCAAAACTTGATGCTTAAGTCACAACTCACATTTGCAGTTTAACAGGGCTTCAGGCTGTGTTAGCAACAGCAGCAAAGAATGCAAGCTGTTTGTTAAACAGGAAAATGTGTTTAAATATACGGAATGTTAGAAATTATCTCCTCAGGTTATTACACATTACCTAGCTCAGCTTCTATGCTATTTTTGAAGCTAGACAGAAAATTGAATGCAAGAACTATATCCATTTCTGACCAGCCCTGTTTTGTCTTAACCTGTCCCTCCCCTGTCCCCTCCAAACAAATAAAAAAACCCCCTCCACACAACTCTTATCATGGGGCCCAAGGTACCGGACAGGGAACACAAAAGAAGTCAAGGCATGATGCTTTTCCTGCATATACCTAATTTGAGCTCAGCACATCCAGTCTGGCGTCAACAGCTAGAAACACAGACAGTAATATTTGCAAGTGTGATACAAAATAAGTAGGATGCGAAGTACTACAGACTTCTCTATGGGTTACGTAGATTTGCCAGAATTTCTGCTTTCATTACAAGTGATATATTCAAGTGATCAACACTAAATGTCCTAAGAAAATCAGGTGCCTCAAAATTAGGACAGGTATAAAACATTATCAGATATAAATTATAACATCCTGTATTACAATACAGTGTATTACAGTATCCCCTCCATTATAAAGCATCTATTTAAAAAGGGAATTAATCTTGTGCTTTTCTCTTGAATGGCAGAAGAGAGAACTTTTTGATAATACACTTGGGAGAGAAATTGAGAGTAGTAAGCTTCCAAAAAAAAAAAAACAAAAACCAAACCCCAACCCCCCCCACCCCCCCCAAAAAAAACCCCACCTAGACGGTAACTCTAGGCCTCGTAATCTAAGAAGATACACCGAAAGAAACAGGTGTTACCTGGGGTAGGTTATCTCAATAGGCACAACAGACTAATTTACAGCTGCTTACTCTGCAATGTCACTCTTGTAACAGAAAAATTCCATACATTCTAGCACAGTGCTAAAGTTTCTTAATTTTATTAGACCTTGCCATTGAGAAAGAAATGCATGCTAAAGTAAGCTTTTTTGATTAGTTTTCCAGTTGGCTAGAAACATTACTTATGTCAGTTATCTACCTGCATGCTTCAGTGTGCAATATCAAATGAAAACTGATTTCTAATTAAACCATGAATCCATCAATCTTACTACTGTGCACTTTCTCTGCTGAAAATGAAACTTGAAAAATTTAAGTGCTTCATCTCAGTCTGGATACAGTGCTGATGCACTAAGTTTCCAAAAATACATAACATACAAAATAAATATACGCTTCAAGGTGCACTGTGGTTTTAATGGTTACCAAGCAACACAGAGTGGGTACTGAACACCAATGCCGTACTCTTAGAGACACACATGAGAGAAAAGTATTATGTGATATCCCACTTTTTGAGCTCACAGACAGATCCACATCCTCTAGACATTAGTCCTACCTCATTATAGGCAGGTATTTAGTGGAATGAACAGTAATTATGAACACTAATATCCCATAATTTCTTTCCCCAACCACAGATCCAAACAAACATACAACAACGAATAGGATGTAGAAGTCTACACACAAACAAGAAAACACTTTGGAAGAAAGGCATAAGACACAAGCTAAAAAGACTACAGATGAGTGCAGCAAGATTAAGTGGAGAAAAAAACTAAGAAATTAGAGAATACATACCAAATAGCATCACTTTGCATGCTTTTTTAATTAAAGCTTTCTCTACTCTTTAGAGATGTATTTGAAAATATAATGGAAGATTTTTTAATTAATACATGTAATTCGTATGGCTTGTGGAAGAAAAAAAAAAAACAACCAGAATGGATTCACCAGCTTTAAGAATTGGAATGAACTGTTACTGACTAGATACTCCCTCCAAACATCAAATGTGAGTGGAAACCATTTTTTAAAATCTATTTCCTAAGAGTAATAATACCTACTACTGTACCTTAATCTCAAAACAGAATTATTTATTACTAAAAAGCCATGAAAGTCTGATTGTGGAGCACTTTGATCAAGATCTTTCAAATATTGTGTATGTTAATCAAAGAGCTCTAAGGGATGAAATCCCTCATTCTTCCCATGGATCCTCAACCCTCATTTCTAACAATGGAATTACCTGCAATTCTAAAATGTGTACGCCAAAATGCGTACTTGACTTGAACTTCTAAATTGCCAGCAACTATGACTTGAAACATTTTCATAGAGAGGTAACTTGCAAATACAGTTAATACAGATTCTACATCTTGTAGACATCATTTACAAGGCCTATTAAAGCAGTCAAAAAAGTACCTTCTAGCACTTAGTTAATAATGACAGATTAAGTTTACTTGGAAAAAAAAAACCCCAAACCCGTAACATAGCCATTTTAACTTCTGGTCTTAGGATAAAGTTCCAATCATCATCCATGGTGAGTGAGCTGAACAGAAATCACCCCGGACATGGCAAGCATTTAAACAGTTTGCAGCCGACTGCCATGGCAATCAAAGTCCATTATCCTCTTCACACTACAGATGTCAACACGGTTGTTTTACTGCATACGCTTACACATCCTGGCCCAGCAGTCTCCTGCTAACAAGGTTGTTGACTATGGTAGTACTGCTGCCTCAAGGATCTTTTTAAGATAACAGCAGGACTGCTTTCAGAACAAAAACAGTAAATCCAAGGTGGTAAGGGGGATGCTTTCCAGCCTAGACAAGAGTAACGTCTGAGTAAGTAAACAGAGAAGGTGGAAGAAAAAGGTGGAAGTGACCCAATCATGACAGGAAGCACATAACACTTCCGGTAGGTTCTTCTCCGAGTGGAAGTGCGCAGTGTCTGATTAGCAAGGGGACACTGATTTGTTTAAATGAGATCTTCACAGTGTACATAAGAATGTGTGGTAGTAACATACATAGCTTTGTTTTTAAAACAGTTTATATTACAGGTGTTTAATAAATGTTTGGTTTTTTAGCTCCCTTAAAACCAGAAATAAAAAAATTAATTTACTGAGTCTAGTCAGAATAAAAGTCTGGTAGAAATAAGTACTGTATTTGAGTCTCAAAGGCTTCATTAAATGCTGTATCCTTGCAGATAAGACATCCGAGATGTGTACATGCAGTTGCCACTGAACCATGTAAGTGTGGATTTTAACAGCATGACTAGGAGAAAGCTAGGACTGCTTTACTTAATGCCCAGTAACTGTGGAGTTCTGCTCCACAACTAGAACACACATAACAGAAACTGGATGCCCATACTAAAATATGACAAGAATAAACTAGTTGAAAATACCTGCACTTTCTGAACTCTGTAACTTTTCAAGAACTGGATCATTTAAATCTCTACAATACTTACGAGGATTTTAAACTATATATCAGATATACAGGTATAGGTACAACAAAATCTTTGTAATCATTCATAATAAAGATGCTTGATAACCTGTAATCTATTAAGTCAGAAAGGAATCAACTTCCTCCAAGTAATTTGTGCTTGCAAATGGGTAGAATATACCTAAATAGAAAGAAAAGATTATTTTGAAAATAGTCTTAAAAGTACTTTTCTTGCTTTGATGTGGATTATTTACATTGCAAGAACGCATATTAGACTCTTCACTGTTTCAGTTTTTCACAGACCATCCTGAAACAATCTCCATAAAATTTGAAATTAATTCTGTAGAACACCACAGAAAATAACAGTGACACATTTATACTAGTTGCAGAGGGAACTCGTATCATTATTGTGAACTCCAGCTGTCTCCTCCTGTACCTCAACTGCTCCTTGGAAAGGTAACTGCTACTGCCTATGGGAATGCTTTGAATAACCTTTAAAACAGTGCTTGCTGTGTATTTCTGTTCATGAATACAGCCCTTGAATAATACTCTGGAAATCTCACCATCATGCTATTCACTCAGGTTAGTGTTAAAGGGGATGGACCTAGCCCTGAGACACTTACCACACGGTTACAGTGACTGTATTGGTTTATCATAGGCTACATGGGTGCACAACCCCAGTGCAAAGCTAAGAATGAGCCATTTAGAGTAAGTGGTGACCCACTGCCCCATTAATCACTCTCTTTTACAGAACTGATCCTACTGCCCTTTACTTCAATAGTACAAAATGGGTCTCTGAGGAAAAGAAGATCGCATTCAACCAATGTTTTTCCTTCTATAAGAAGAGAGTTGGAGAGAGCCTAGGAGTCACTAATACCAGTAGTTGAAATTAGCAAACATACCTTCACCAGACAATTTGTGTGACCTGGAACAGACCCATTTACATAAATAATGTCATGTTTTGTGTTGATCCTCCACACCTAGGAGACAGGAAAAAAAAAGATATTGAGCTCATTTTAGAGACTATTCCCAATTTTACAAACAGTAGTCCAGCAGAGCACAAACTGATAACTGGAGGTGGTACTCTGGGCAAGAAGAATGTCCTGCACAGCCCTAAGGTTGCCACAAAATTCAGTCACATGCTACTCTGAGTGCACAGCTTTCTAATGCAGGAGTCTATTAAACAGTTTTAAAGGGCTTGTGATCAGGCTATATTTGGCAAGGCAGCCCTTTGTTCAGCATCACACCAACCCAAGCTCCCAAGTCTCTTTTCCCTCTAACAGCAACAGCTGTTGAAAAACATCACACGTGACAAATTAAAACAAGTATGCTCATGAATTAAATTAAAACAAGTATGCTCATGAAAATGTTACTGTGACCATTTGTTAATTTCTTAATTCTATGAGGTGCTCAAGTGAGCATGCAGTTTTCTGTTACAAAACATTAGTTTTGGTTAGTAGAGAGCAGCAGCACACTTTTTTGCAAACTAGAGGCTAATATGTTTTTTTATGCAAACTGCAGAGGTTGCCTTCAGAGACAGAGAATAGTAGCTGTAATAGCCCAGGAACTGCTGCAGCTATGTACGCATCAGAATCTAGACAGAAACTATAATCCTCTTTTTGCACATAGAAGTGAAGGACCATGATAAAAAGTTAGGACTTCAGAAAACTCAGACTTGGGCTGGGTTTGAGCAAGTGGAATAGGCATGAAAACATTAACTGAAGGTCACCAAAAGCCTGATTGTTTTCCCACTCCAAAGGCAGAAGTCAAGGGACACAGTGAAAAACATATCAGACGTGGAAGTATCACCCAAAATCCCAGTCCCCATGGACTGCACGTATGCAAAAGGAGTTCAGATAACTTATTTGTAACCCACAAGACGACAGGAGCACACATTTGCTGCTCTTGCCTTTCCAGCTTGCTTACTTCAAGACGCGCCTGTCTGGATTCTGACAGAAATGACAGACAGTTCACCAGCACAAGGCTACATGGCTAAGTCCATTGCTTGGCAATGCATATACACATTCCAGTACACTCAGAACTCACCTTTAATCCAAGAGATGTCCTATAGATGTTACCCATTTTACCAGGCATTTTCTTTCCGCGATAAACTTTGGAAGCTTTCTAGATAAAAACAGGGCCAAAAAATCATGTAACTGCAAGAGGTACATCTACAAACTCAAGAAGAGCAGGAAAGAAAATACGCTGGTATTTCCAATGTTGAAAATATCTAATATTGAAAATATCTAATATTGATTAGCATTTAGGTATGTTAGGTATGTTATCTGAAATACTTAACCTCAATCATAAAATTGCTATAAATACTGTTGTTATCAACAAAGGGATTCTAGCTTTGCTTAATTCGTAATGTGTCTAAATTCAGAGCAAAATCTTCACTCATCCCATATTTTCACTTCGTGAAAAGCAAGAAAAGTTTTTTTTTTTCCTAAAACCTCTGTCAACACAAGACTCTCACCTACACCACAGACCACAGACCACAGCAATTGGCAAACTAACTAAACTACTTGTGGATGCTACCACAGAGCTCCAGAGCAGTCCTACCCTGGAAGGCTGCCAAAATTAAGATATACTGTAGCTTCTCCCTCTCCCTACTCCATGACTTTTATACTGATGTAAAATAGATCTTTTAAAGCATGTATTTTTGAGAACAGAATTTTTAATTACATTCCTTGCTATTGCTTAGTTTCTCTATCCCATTTTTGTTTGGCTGGGTATAACATGGAGAACAAAGGTGGAAAGGAAAAGGCAGGAATAAGTGCAATAATTTTCAGTTCTACAGCATTATCCAGGGATTTGTCTCAGTCTCCTGCGCCACCCTCTTACTCATTAATAATGCTTTTGTTTTTTTTTTTAAACTCGTGTGAAAATCATGATTTTAGGAAATCAACTGCAATAAAATTCTAGGGACATGATTCTGTACCAAACTATGCAGGATTACTAAAACCCAAAGTGGTCAACACTAGACTGGAAAATAAAAAAAAAAAAAAATCAAGGCATTGGTTTTCCGCTATTGCATCTTTTCACCTTGTTTCCTTTTCATCATACTTATTTCCAATCCTATTTCCCATTCTATATACTTTGTGAAATCACATGCAGTGTTACTGCTTAGGAAATTCTAATTTAAAGGAAAGAGGGGTTATTTTGTAATGATGAATACCATCTGCTAAAACAAAGTGTTGTATGTTCAAATATTTACATTTTTCAGTTTTCAGAGAAAACAGTACCAGGTGTAGAATTCATTTTCCAGTTGAAATGAAGAACTACAATCAGTACAGTATGCTTTTACAGTCTCCATTATTCTAACTTTTTGCCTTTTTGCTCTTACTATTCTCTTAAGCATTATCAATCCTTTTTTTTTTTTTTAATATCTCCAAGAAAATTACAGACAATGCAGGTTCAGTACTGTGACTCAGTTGGTCTTAATTCTGGTAACAAACCTAGTTTGCAAAAATTCCTCTTAGTTCAGCCTAAATGTTGTGCAGCCTTTATAGGGACAAAGTTTTAAATGCATCTGTTCCAACGAGTTTTTAAACTAATATTGTTTATAGTTTGAAACTTAAAAATATTACTCTCTGCTTAAAAATGCTAAGCAGCCGACAAACTATTTTGGAATGAAAGAGTTCATAAAGCAGCTGCTTTATACATAAATCAGGCAAAGTGATAAAAGCAACTAGGTTTCCAAAGAATAGTACATCTGCAGTATAAAATGAGTAAATCCCTTCCAATCTATAAATGCTGTGAGAAAAGATTCTTAGAACTCTCTTCGAAGCATTAAGACTGTTTCTCTCAGCTATACTACAAAATACCACAATTTGCTCAGTTAAAATATGTTTGCTCACTTACTAGCAATATAGAGTATTAATGAATCAAGGCATAAGAGAACAGCTATCTGCATTGCTCATTATACGGGTTTCTGAACTTCCTTTGAAACAGCTGGGATTTGCTGCTAGTGGTAGCAGCAACAGAGTGGATGGTAACAGCTAGCTACTGTGACATTGTTCATTTTTAGTAAGCAGTTCTAAAAATACTGAAGAATGTTTACATCAGGAAATAAGAAGAAATAACAATCCTCACATTGGTAGATATTGCTCCAGGACGTCTGTGAGTTTTTGTCTGGCCATGGCTAGCAGGCTGGCCTTTAAATCCCCACCTTTTCATGACACCTTGAAATCCTTTACCTATTCTGAAAAGAAAAATAAACAAACCAACCTGGGTTAGTCAGACTTAAGGTTCCTAGCAATAAACAATAATTTCAGTCAGGCTCATGATCTTTTTACCTTTAGCAAAGCTCAGCAGAGAGAACTTACTTTTTTTTTAAAATCTGTATTTTATACCATAAATGTATTCTAGTGCAATACTTAAATGTTGCTTTACAGCATAAGAAGCACTAGAAGACAGTCAAACTGGCAAAAAGACTAACATAAAATGCTCCTTGCTGTGATGATCCTCAATACATGGTACTGTAATGAAACTTTCACCAAGTGGACACTAGAACAAAAAAACCCCAACCAACCGAAAAACTGAATAAAAACCAACCGTACAATAACGGATACCAAAACTCAGTGACAGGCCCTAAGCATCAAGAGAGGAAAGAAATGGCTGCTTAGACTAGCATAAAAATAAGCGAGGAACATTTCTTTTCCAAACTACAATAGACTCATCTCTTGAAAACAGTTTTATGTATAGCAAAACCACTTAACTCTCTTGATCTGTCAAGTAAGGTCTAAAACAGACTAACAAATAAAACGTATTATCAGTGTCCATGCCTTAATCTTTGAGGCACGCGATAGTATTAGTGGCTTTGGAGTTCTCTGTTTACTGCAGGGACAGACTTAATACAAAAAATTGCCTTACCACTGCACAAAAGAAAAGCCGATTAAAGTGTGTGTTTAAACCAGCATTGTCATTTCGAAAAGGAAAAGTCTGTCCACGTGGTTTATGGCTGCATTGATTATTTCATTAATTTAGCAGAAGATCCTTTTCCTCCAATTTACAGAAATCTTTACTAAGGCACTTTGCAATGCCATGGTCCTATCACTTCAAGCATTAGAACCCTCTGGTCAAACACATGAAAATACAACCAGGTATGAGCATACAGCATGCTGTATATATGGACTACATTTTGCTGACTCCCCTGATCCGAAAAGCACTACTATTAAAAATGAGAGAAAATATACAATTGTGGAAAACACCAACATTCACAAAAACTGGATTGTTTCCTCTTCCACTTGAATAATTCTCCTGATTGCTGGCCTAGGTGCCTAGAGCAAGTCAAACTACAGTCAAAACCAGCCACAAATGGAAAGACTCTCTAAAGCCACAGAACTGTAAGGAAACAAGACGTGTGCAACCATGGTGCCGATCTTTTGGTTTTCCCCTTCCCTGCTCAGAACCTAGTGGTCAATTCCAGTTAAATCTGACACAGAGGACAGACATGTAATTGTTTGAAATCAAAATTATCGTCCTGAATTTTTTTGCTCCTTTCCTACAACTAACTAAGGAAGTGCTAGAACATGATTAAAGTAGCAATCTGTTCCTTTGGCTTGCCGGTTGGCCAGTTGCAAAAGTGCTGGCCACCAGCAAGATCGTCTTTCCAGGCCAGCAGACAGTGGTGCCACATGGGAATATGGAGAGGGTCAGTGCCAGGAGAGGGAGCTGAAGGCACCTGTGGGAGGTAGGACCAGGGTTACCTGGGATCGGGAACACAAGACAGAAATCTAAAGGATGCAAAGGTTTGTTACACCAGTTTCTCATGAATCAGCTTATTTTAAAAGCTTGCAGTAATGAACAGCAATAGTTGTAAAGAAATGGTTTGAAAAATACATTTTAAGAGAGGCTCAAATTTGGTTTTTTCTATGTCTGCAGATTGCTAGGGGATTAGTAACTAAGCTATAGGAAAACTCATATCTGTTCTGCCAAAATGCTATTTTTTTCTTTGAAACTATCTATTATTGGCCATGTTTTCCAAGTAGACTACTTCTGGCATCTCTAGCTGGAAGATGGAATTAGCAAACTCTCCAAATCAACTGCAAGTGGGTTGCTTAACAACAGCTGTGCAGCTACCAGAACAAGCAGACTGAGGGCATGATTAATTCTTTAGCTGCAGAACTGTACTTGCAATTCAGAGAAAACCATACAGCCATCAAAAGCTACCATTTCAAAAGACAACAGTACTGTCAACTTTAATCAAGAAGCATAAATCCCTGATGTCATGAAACCACTTCAATATTTCAGATTGTTCTTTTTTAGACATGAACAATTTAGAATACTGTAAATTTTACTTTTTAATAAGATATAAAAATACAAGAAATCGTTAATACTTGTAAGAGATGCATTTTGGAAAAAAGTTTACTTGATCAAATACTGTATCTTCAAAAAGAAGTGGTTATATCACAAGATAAAGTTGCTAGTGTTTAATGATTTATGCAACAGACTATGCTCATCTACTTCTTGGTCTTTCCACTCACACACATATTTCCTGTGAACAAAGACTCAGACTTTACAATACTGAACCTTTGGAAATTTATAGAAGGTGTGGCCAGACTAAAGAAAGAGCACTCTGGTAAACCTGAAAACGTCTGAAAAACCAGTATGAAATATTCTAGCCAAAGTCAAGGAAAGATATCTCAATGCCGATATTAGAGTATTTCATAATGTATAATGCTTTACTATCTACCAAGGTTCTTTCATCATAGTAGTTCAATAATACTTTAGAATAGTTTAATTTTTTATTTGTGAAAAACTGATTGAAGGTCTCTGAATTACGTACAAATACACTTTACCTTATGACTTTGTGAACATTAATTTTCTATTCAACATGACCCAGTCACTGTCATGATTGAAAATAAAAACAAGATTTTATTAATTAAGAAGCTATAATTTTATTTCATTTTGGAGGGTTTTTTTTTAAAAAAAAGAAAGTATAATGTTCTTTAAACACATGTCAAGATGAAAAACAATTACAGACAGTGTATATTTCTTCCTAGACTCATGCTCTACCTGAAATAAAGCTGGAACCAGAATAAAACCTACAGTATTATGTAAATCAAACAAAGTTTAAAATAAAATAAGGAAAGACTAACATCTGTTTAAATCAAATTTAGAAAGGAGGACTGTTTAACTAGGCACTTAGCTCAGCCAATACACCTCAACCATTCCAGAAGAACAGTGTTTTTCCAACCTAAGTCACCTTGGTGTGACTGTGATCTGTTCTCAGACAAGCAGTGCATTTCTCTACTGTATGCAAAAAATAAATATTATGAATAAATTTTCCATTACTTAAAATTTATCTGTATTTCTAATGCAAAGATTTTACGTTCTTCCAATTGTATGAAATGCAAAGTACTTTTGAAACTAATATTCATCTTATATAAACAAGGAAGAGAATTTAAGATGCATGTTGTTCAATAAATACTATGGAAAATCAGAAGGATTTATACAGTTTAGTTTTCTTAAACTTTTTAATTCTGCCAAAAATTTAACAAATATTTGTAAGAATATATTCTTGTTGACTTCTGAATAGATGCCAGGTGTCAGCTATTAGCATCACTTACTAATTTCAAATTGTTTAATTGCCCTCTTTGCCCTTCTTAAAATTTACTAGGTGTGAACGCATTCACTAAGTGTCATGAATAAAATACATGAAAAATAATTACTGAAATTAAACCTAAAACAGTATTTTGTGAAACTGAATGAAACAGAAAAATCCCCCAAAAGAATACTGGATCTTTCATTACTTAAAAAGTATCGTGAGTTAATTTCCAACAAATATTTCATAACATTAGCATGAGTTAGCTAAATCAAAAGATTATAACATATAGTTATCACACATGCAATACATACTATTTTATGTATACTATATATTTATATATTTTTTTTCATACACTACATACACTATTCTATGTAATTTCACATTAGCCAACATATGCATAAAAGATACCAACCAAACATGTACCTCTCCTGGTGTTACTTTTCTTATGATGATCTGCATCACAATTTCATTTAAGAATGCATCAAAAAAATCCATGCTTTCCCCCCACCAAAGTCCTAACTACTGACATCCCACTACATCTTGTTCATTAAAACCTGTGATATCTTTAAAAGGAAACTTAGTACAATTCTAATTTAGAACAAACCGAAACATGCATAAGAAGTAGTACAACTCCAAAATCTCTTAATAGGCATAGTACGGACAGCTTCAGATATTTTCAAAAAACATTAAGGTTTGTCAAAGTGGGATCTTAATCCAGAACCATATCTTAATTAAACAGAATCAGTATCTTGATTCCACTCTGAAAGAATCAAGTTATGTGTGCAGTATCTGAGATATGATAATCAAGAATCTACACTGAAGTAGAATGCTTGTCATCCTACTTACACTGTTCCGATTTCTTGATAAGACATCTTCTACCTGCTGTCTTGGCTTTAATCAATTTTTGTTCTGGCAACAGTTACATCAAATGCCATATCTGAACTAAAAACCATGCACCAGACCTATCTTTATTAGACTTGATATGTATACTGCCACTGTTCTTCAATATATGGAATTTAGTTAGTTACTTAGCTTCACTGAAGCATGGTTACCTGAGTCCCAGAAAGGAATCACAGGCAGCAATGATGATATTCAGAACTAAGACACACAAATGTTAAATGAAAGGAAAACAATCTTTCTGTAGAATTAAAAATAGAGTTTAATTACACACAATTGTTCTAGTCTCACCTGCAGGAAAGCAGCTGTTCAGGTCAACCACCTAATTTTGTACAAAACCTCATTTTCCAGGTTTGATGCAAGTAAAATGCCAGTACCTAATGAGCCAACTTCCATTTAGAAAGCTACTGGAATAAAGCACTCTAATTAAGCAACAATTTAGTTTGCTGCTAACTCTTCAAACTTAGCTAATTTAAAAGAAAATTATTTAGATGCTGTAGAGGAAAAGGATTCCAACTAGTTAGTCAAATAATTTCAGACAATTGTAGAGCATACTTTCAGGCTCAGATTACACTGTTAACCTAGCAAAGCTTAAATAAACCACTAAACACACCAGAATCACCACTTAATTCTGACAATTTTCAAACAAAACTACTGTTGGCTTTTTCTTTGGAGTGGCAAAATTTCTCATGTTCCAAAGGTTTCCTGAAACGTTGATGAAACAGGTCATGAAGTGGCAGAAAAAGGAGGTATAATACAACTCCATCTCCATACAGTGTTGAGCTACCACTGTAAGGTCGCACCCCTCCCCATCCCCATGTTTTGGTCATCTTTGTAGTAGTACAGAAGCTCACTCAGCGGATCAGCAAGCTGGGACATGCAACCGATCCAGCTGAAAACTAACCCAGTGAAAAATAAAGATATCTCACACTGATCTTTTCCTTCATGCAACTCTGGATGCCAGTACCAGCGATAGAAGGTTGATGGGAACTCTGTGGGAGCAAGCACCACCTCCCCTTTGGGCAGCAGCCTCTACTATGCCAGCTTAAAGAGGTCACAGAAGTGCAGCCCATGAGAGAAGCGTTTCTGGACAGTGCTGTGTATTTTGGCCCAAAGCATATTAGGGCTAAAACAAACCATCAGGCCACAGGATTTCTGAAGTTTACTCCTGTCCCAAAAAGGGCACTAAGCCTTTACACATTCTTGAACCATACCTCTGAAACACCAAGGAAAAGTCTTGTCATTAAAGACACAAACTTAAGGATTGAGCTTTTAAATGGCTGAAAATAAGTACCACGGAAAAAATTCAGCACTAAAGATCAACAGCATGCAGATGCACTGCCTACTGTCAGTGCTCTAAAAAGCTACTCATGCTGTGCCAAACAAATTACAAGACTTCAAATAAAAACAAACTGCATACACCTTCTCGTTTCTGTGAAAGTGTTTTTCTTCACAGAGGTATAAATGAATTGAAACATGTAAGAAGATTTTGACAAAAACATTTGCAGGAAAAGTTTAAAAGCAGACAGTCATAAAAACACCCTACACTTTGGTAACCAAATCAAGATGCTAACCAAGACTTTTCTGAACCATAGTGCAAACAGTTGTTCAACCTACAATAGCTAAGAAAAGCTTGCTCATTTTTAAGGGACATACTTCTGATTTTGGTACTACTTCTACTTGGTAGAAGGAAGCACACAAAAGGATATCTTGCTCGTCTGGATCATTAAGAGTTGGTAATAAATTAAAACATCCTATATATTCCGCTATAGTCTCTCCTCATTGAGGTAACATTAGTTTTCTTTTTTTAAAGGAATAATTAATCATGCTGTTAAGAACAGCACTGCTGTGATCATCTATATGATTTCAAACATTGCACACTTCAGTGTTTTGTCCATTAAATAAAATTACTAACAATCTTAAAAGCGTAAAGTACATGTTCATGTCAAAGTACTACTAAAATTTTACTAGTGGTGATAGTAAGTTTTTAGGAATTACTGGCTTTTAAGTCCATAATGGTTTGAATCAGGAAGACAGAAGCTGTGGGAGGAAGGAGAGGAAGTCAAACTGTGCTCCCTACTGTAAGCCAGCATTATATCCTTAAGTACCTTTTCAAAATGCCCCTATAGCTTAGGATCTTCCAAGTGCCTACATCACTTCTGAAAATGGGACTTTAGAGAGTAATGTACAAAGGCTCATTTCAGCCTATGCACCAAACCTCCCCAGGTTCCCTCTTTGTTCAGTAGGGAGAATCTGGCTTCTCTTGAGGGGGGTTCAGAACACAAGTACAACATGAAGTACGTTCTCATTTTTCCCCCACAGTGCAGCCCAAATGCTATAGCTCAATGCTATAATAATTCCCAAGATAACTTTTTTTACCCTTCACTGAAGCATTTCTTGGATATTTTTGTGACATTATGAAATCTGTACTTACAGGTACAGTAACTAAGAATGACAGATACAGCATTCTGAAAAACCATGAAAAATAAACCCCACCCAAGTATGAGACTAAGCAACACTGGATGAAATTGCATGCAATGAAGTAAAAGAAAAACTGAAATGCAGTCAAATAATTTAATTCTTGTCCAGGAGTTAATGTAATATGATAAATGCAGCATTCCAGAGAAGTAGAAATTAAGAAGAAAGCAACATTAACAGTAGAAAGAAAGTGAGCAAGTCACAGAAAAAGCTTAAAAAAACACAGATATATAAAGACTGGAATGATTAGATAATCATATTGGCAGAACTAAGATTTTTTTTCTTCTCCTTTTATATTAGGCACCTGTATAGTAGGATTACATGTAATAACGCTACCAAGGTCAGCAGTACAAACAAAAAGCTAATTTCTGAAATGGGATCATACAAATATCTGGAGAAAATAGATTAGAAATACTGAATTAAAAGATAGGATGGATTCACTGAATTAAAAGATAGGATGGATTCACTGAACTAAAAGATAGGATGGATTCACTGAACAAGGCCAGGAACCCAGTTAATTTTTAGCTTGCTAGTATTTTCAAAAACATATAGCAAGATACAAATCAATACTCTGCGGCTCTTACCAGTACCTTACACTGCCAAAAAACTTTCCTAGTTCTTGAAATACTTCTAGAAAAACAAAGCTTTTCTGCATTAACAAAAGCATGACGCTTAATCTACATGGAATGACTGTATTCCTAATGACACAGTGCTTTGCTTTGTAAACAAGTTATTGTCTGTTACAGGCTGTTCACTGAATGCAATGTAGAAGCAGAATGAACAATATACCACATCAAGTATTATATAAGGAAGTTTGACATAGAAAAATTAATTCCAGTCAACTTCTTGACCTCCTGTTCTGAATAGGATGCCCTCATAGGTGTAGTCAGGTGTAGCTATATTAGAACCAACTATTTGGCTGTATTGATATGGTTGGTTTTCCCGTATATACAAAGCCCTGTGAATAATATTAGACATTTGTAAGTATTACACAGACGTGAGACAATTACAATGGATGGTATTTCAACAAGGCCAGTTGGTTATTATCTCCATTACACAAAAAATGAAACATCAAATGGAAAACATTATCTTTGTATCGTAATACAACAAAAATACACTTCACTAAAATATGGAGATAGGAGTTCTCAGTTCTCTTGGGCAGTGGAAATCAGGGACGTAATAGAAGAGGCATGACTAGTCTTTGCCACAAGATGCCAGTTTTTCTTTTGACACCCTCTACCACTTGAGCTCTAATTTGGCATGCACAGTGGTCTGAGAGGAAATCATTCCTCCCACGTTAAAGTAAAAGATCATTAGCCATCGCTGGCAAGGAGACGAGCTGGAATATGAAAGAAAACAAAAAAGGAATTTGATAGCTCTCTTGTCCTGCTAAATGTATTCACTATCTTTTTGCTTTTCTTTCAGTCCACATGATACATCTCTCCGCATCTCTTCACCAAATCAAAATTAAGCAGTCTTTCTGGGAATTGATGCCTTTCAGCACTTATTCCCCACTTTTACATACCACAGATGCTGCATTATAGACCTCTTCACCCATGCTAAGCTTGAGTAACTCTTTCTCAAGCTGTTTGTCAAGACCTTCCATGCTAATCATGTACGTGTGACAGACAACAGACAACACACGCAGAGCCATAGCCCTAAGAGTATTATTTGCTTACCTACCATGTCCAAAATAAAAAATAAGCCTCAAAGAAAAACAATTTGGTATTTTTTACCCAATGACTGAGTGGACTTCTATTTTCTGCCACTACCCTTGCAACTGTGTTTCAGCTTTTGAGAGCCATGAGTTCAAGCCAAAGTGGTGGGGGGAAATCAACTAGTCTATTTGAAAGATGAACCGTACACGTTAAATCATTAGGAACCTACGTTTTTGCAGTAACATCCACGAACTGCCCTGGGCGGAAGTGAGCAGCATACAAAGGAGTACCTTCAAAAGAAGAGGAGAGATCATGTTCAACTAAGTGCTGAAATCCTCAAACTACCCTCCAGTCATTACCATCCATAGTAGATTACAGTCACAGGAAAGGAAACAAAACTTTGTTTTTATTCATATATTATTTGTTCTTCTTTATAAACCTCACTGACTAAAATCGATGCTTTGTAGTTACTACTTAAGCACATTTCTCAGTTCCTAGCCCAATTTCAGATGAGTAAGAAGGAAGGGTCAGGGCTTTACTCAGACATGTTGCACTTCAGACACTGAAAGAGACAGAGCCCAAAATGCTTAATTAGTTAAGACTCACAGTAAACAAACTTGGCAAAAAACCAGAACATGCTCCACTTATAACTACTAGCACTTCGCAAGATGGAGGCTTTTTTTAAAAAAAAACAAAAAAAAACCCCAAAACACTTTCTATAAAAAATGGTGTTAAGAATAAATTAAAAAAAAAAAAAAAAAGTTTTGCAATGTTCTTCTTTGTTAAGACACTGTTTCCAAACTAAAGACTATGGCAGAAATACAGATTCATCCACTGGGGAATGACCTATACACTAGCCTTTAGTAGAAGTAGTGCTGCTATTGGTCAGTGACATCACTCACATGACTGCAATTACACTCATTCCACTAAGTACTTGTAGTACCAAAGTTTTAATTTTACTTAAAGATTTGTTTGGTCTTCAGCAATTTTTTTTCATTGAAGTGCAATATTCTTTTATTAGCAGCTTTAAAAAAAATGGAATTGATAACTTAGTTCATTATAAATGAACTTTAATCTGAAGATCCATGCAGCTACATCTTTAACAGTTTCCAGCCTGTTTTAAGTCAATCAAAAAAATGAAAATGTAATTGCTTTATGTCCACACCCATTTTCATGCTGTTTTCAAATCTGTATGAACGTCAACTGAAATGACGTAAATCTCTCCTAAGACTCAATCATAAAAATCCTCATATTATTTCATGTTATATTTATATGATCCATACACACCTGGGATAAGATGCCTATCAACTGAGAGAAAGTCATGTACATGAAGGATGTTATGTACAAAATACACACACTGCAAAATGAGTTTATTAAAAACTTGCAGTTTTGCTTTATCTCAAGCTTTTGCTTCCATTTATCAGTCCAGACTTCCTCTTCATGTCAGATTTGATTTTTATTAGTTACTGCACTGTCTTAAAAAAGTCTTGCAAAAAAAGATGCAATACGTTAGAATTTCCTACCCTACATAATTCTTGGGAAAATACCTGTAACTGTCAAAAAGCACAAATGAAAGCAACCTAAATACACTAGCTAATAAAACCTTAAAAACATAAACCATTTAATTCAATCTCCAAACTCCTAAGACTGATTTTTAGTCAGAACAATTGTTATAACATGTTTTACTTTGCAAGGTGCCAGAAAAAATGCCACATGACAGCCATCAGTCCTACTTCTGAATGCAAGAAGAAACAAACCTCAAACTGCTATTTTAGGCTCCCGAGAAACATTAACACAAAATTCTCGGTGCCCCTCTCATAGGAATAATCAGAGAACTTCCTGTAAATGCATTCATATTTATTCCCAACAAGTGAGTCAAGGTTGCAGACATTTATTTCTTAACTCAGTGTTTGTATTAGCTGGTTTGGATCAGACTTATTTTCTAATCATGGAAACACAGTATCCAGGAAAAAGGAAAAATCCTACTTCTTGTTGCCTAGAAAGTAAAGTCCATTTTCTGGTCTTCCCTAAGAAAAAAGTTTGTTTGCGCTCAGTGACAAAGAAATAAGAATTCAGCAATCTGCATACAAAACAAAAATGAAATGTATGTTGTAGCTTGGTTCAGGTCTACAAGTGGCAGATGTTAAATGATTATGCATATAATATTCAGTAGCTCAAAAAGATTACCTGGTTTAATTATGGCATCATCTGTTACATTAAATGTTGTCACTTTCTGCTTCCGTGGTACTCCAGCTTCTTTAAAAATTTCCATTGCAGACTCTGATTTCTGTAACAAAGAGCATCCATAAAAAAAGAAGTGATCTTAAAATACCCAAGGATCAGCCTAGCAGAGAAAGTGATTACAGACTGTCAACACCACTCAGAAAAACAGATATTTCATCCTACACTTTTATCTTGAGACTAGCATTTTAACTCTATATAAAATTAATTTAAAACTCCTGCGTCTGCATTTTATTTTCTGTCAACTAGTTACCCTACAGTTGCATCATACAAACAAGAGGTATATGAAGATTTCTAAGATGAGAAAAGGGAAATGAATTATTTAGAATGTACCTAAAATATATTACTGCTTTTTCCTGACTTTCAAAGAGTTTTGTAGCAATTTAAAAGCATTTTCTCTTTTTCAAAGCTTCTAATGACTTAGTTCCACACCATCATAAATATAATTTGTTTGATTTAACTAATAAAACTACAGAAATAAAGCCTGGTCTTGCAGAAACTTCCAGAAATGCCTAACTTGCCACAGAAGAGAATCTAGAGTCTCTGGACAAAAAAAGAAAAATGAAGAACAACGTTTATGATTCATGTATTTTTAAGACATACCAAGTACACTCGGAGTCAAACCACTGCTAACTTACTAAGGAAGGGCTCTTCTTTTTAGAGGAGTCTGACAAAGTTAAAAGTATTTAAAATTGTTCTCAGCTGTTTTAAACAAGACAACTCACTGAACAGCTGACCACTGATATGATATCAAGCAATGGAAACAGTAATGCAGGAAAACTGTGGCCATAGGAAAAAAACAATACAGCTGATTATTCTTCAAATGAATTCTCCTAGAAAGCAATTTAAGCATCTGACAATACCGTCATACTTGGATAGTCCCATCTATGAGGTTCACTTCTCAAAAGCTCTGTGCAGTCCTCTCTCTCAAAAAGAATTTATTTTGTGTATTTTAAGACAAAATAATGTGAATAGCTTTAAAATCTTTACTTAGTTAATTTTCAAAAATCTGCATGTTGCCCTTCCTTTTGTTTTTTAAAAATCTGTTTAAAAGTGTTAGGAGAACAGAGGAAGTTTTCTGAAGAATGAGTAAGCAAGACGATAAGGAACTCTGACTTAGACACAAACCAGAAATTTTAACTTCATGAATCTGTTCTTATTTGAGGACAAAGTATAGATACAAAGTCTTTGAGAGTTAAAAGGTATTTTTGAGAGATTTGTTAGCTTGAGTTCATAGTACAAAACACTTCAAATACCTTTTTTTTTTAAAAAAAAAAAGTCATCAACTAAATACAAAATATCCCCTAAGACCACAAAAATTTGAGGCATCAATGGAGGACTACTGTATTAAACTGTGGTACCATATGTAAGAATTAAAAATAAAGAAATCCCCTTTCTACTAAATGCCTACCTCTCACTCCTTTTCTTCCATCGTTAATCAAAACTGCTGCCTTAGATGACAGCAAGGGAAGCTTTGTGCTCAGTATGGGTGCCTGGAAAGAGTTACCACAGCTGAAGAAAAGCATAGTGCTTACATCTCAAGAGTCCTACTATAGCCTTGCACTGTTCTACCTCAACAAGAAGTTTTCTTCAGATAGTCAAGTCAGAGAGATGTGTTCCTACAAACAAAACACTGCAGTCTTTACAAAGCCTTCCTAAAAAGCAATACTGAAGAACACTGAGTGAATTCTCAGATGTTTTTATTTTTAAAAAGACCAACAATCTCTTCCAGTATTGCAGGAAAATGATCGATACGCCCTCGCTTAAGGGAAACATATAAAATATTTTTGACAAAAAATTGTTAGAACAGTGACAGAATTGTACTTTTGAGAATAATTTTGCATTAAAAAATCATGAAAAATCTGTTCACTTGTAACAGAATGATATACATCAAGCTAAAAAGGAAAAAAAAAAGTCTTGCTAAAAATGCAATACCCCTTATAATTTTTTAATCAATTTGACACCCAAAAGAAAAACATGAAACTCTTTGTTAGTAAAATTACTGAGGGAATCATTAGATTAAATTCATTAAAAATCAGCAGCTGTGAGGAATCTGAGGTAGACAGATGTTCCTATGAGGAATTAACAGAAGATAAACTGCTTATGCTAATACAATACAGTATCATTCAGCTTTCTTTTAATTCTTACTTTCAGACACTTCAGAGGGAAAAGAAACACATAAAAAGACTGATAAACATAGGAGAGCAATGCTTCAAACCTGCAGCTAAACCACAGAAAGACATCATTTGTTAGTACCTTAACAAGTAAAATCGGCATCCCAAATTCTTTTTTAGAAATTATCTAGTTCATACAATGATGATGATAACAACAATAATAATAATACAGAGCTCAGTCTCAGGCCAGGTCCTCACCACAGACTGGTCTCAGAATACTTAATTTCTTTATTAAAATGAGTCTAAGTTCAAACAAATTAATAGGAGCTAACTTGGAAAAAGTTATGTCCAAGAGTCTAACGTAACTCAAACTACTAAAAAAACCTTGAGTTCACTTTTCAGGTAGTTCAGCTTTGAAGAAATTTTCGTAGGTCACAAGAGCTGTTTAAACAGAAATTTTCTATATACTTCCTTGCTTCCTGCACATTTTTACTCTGACAACATATTGAATTATTGATCATTTTTATGAAAAGATCAACTGTAAGGAGTCTAATGTGCATAATACAACTTGAAAATTATTATTCACATGGTTCTTGCATGTATTAAACCAATGTAACAGGAAAGAAAAAAACACAGCTGTAATTTCTCCAGGAAAAATGTCACAGCTGGAAAGTGGAAATGGACTAAAGTCACAGGATAGACACCTGAAAAGTACAAGGAATGATGCTGAAAGACAGCATAAAACCTCTGAATAAAAGAAAGGTACCCTAAGATATAAGCCTGTTCAAAATCAGTAGAATATACTATAAAAGCTAACAGATTTATCAAATGAGCACCTCCACTAAAGCAAAAACAAGTACACAGATTAATTTTGAGGCTCTGGGACAACCTTCTATTTGAAAAAGGCAAAGGTATGTCCTCAAAAAGCCACAATCACTGACTGAGATAATCTGCTTAGTAATTACAAGTCCTATTTTCTTTCACTTGCCTAAATCAAACAAATGCGTGTCAGGATACTGCAAGAAGTGAAAAGTGATATTTTATAGAAATAACGGATCACAGCAACTGCAATCCTTTGAGGGAAAGCTTTGTTCCTGCCTTGATCTAGAATTCAGTTTTGCTCCTCAGGAATGACAGCTCTGCTAGACAACCTTAGCCATTGAAGGTAGCTGGGAATTCCACTTCAGGTGTTTGGGATGTCTAAACCCGTGAGTGGTTTCGATGTCGCTGTTGCTGAGCTATAATCATGAAGTTATCTTCCTGAAAATTTAAGTCTTAAACTTATTCATCAATAAAAGTATATGCAAATTAAATGATCTAAACAGTGGAAAAATTACAACTAAAACTAATAAAAGAGCATAGAAGAGTAAGCAAGGGAACAGTCTTCTGAACAACCGATGAAGCTGGGTAAGTTTAAAACAAGCCATTAATGCATGTATCTTGCAGTGCTGGTCTCATATTGCATCTCCACAGATGTGGAACACACATGTTTCTACATTGCTAATGGCCCTTCAGACCCTTTCATCAGCATGGGATGCTGCACATCAAAGCAACTTCCTAAACTCACAGCTTGCCTAAGAGAATCAAGAGGCAAAACTTTCAAAAAGTTCTCCTTGCTATTCTCTTAACCAGGAACTGGCACTAGCATTAGGAAATACGCAAGTATGGATGTGACAAAAGTTAAGTTCCAAAGCATGCATGTCTGCCAATTAATCTTTTAGAGAAGTCTACCTGTGCTACTTTTGTACTGTAATCACAACAGAAACAATTGTTCTAACAAAAACACCTGAAGTGGTTCACTTACAGAAAAAGGAGATGCATTTTTGCCTCCAACAAGTAGCTTAGATGTTTTTCCACCCGACTCTTCCTTTGAAATGTATCTTAAAACATGGCAATCTTGCACCTTAAGAAAAACAGTGTTTATTTGAGTATAAGCAGATGTGTACACTTTGAGACCATAGTATGAGATTATCAAAACAAGTGAAACAAAGTCAGTCTCTGTCTTCATTTGTATCTATGTAACAGGAGATACAGCCTACGAGTAGGGGAGTGTGTTACCTTTTTACCAGACGTTCTTTTTCCAATCAATTAAAGGCTTATCTTAGAAAAAAATATTAGCAGAATGCAAACTATATTTTCATAAATGCTCTAGAAATTGAATAAACTTTTATAGCCATCTTTTGCCTGCAAGATGTGCAAAATCCCTACTTATGCAGCAGCAAAGCATACAGTAAGAGCCCACATTTTAGACTCCTGCTCCTTTGCCCTGTAAATCCAGTATCCTTCACAGTCCCGGTTGATCATATGGCAGCAACAAGCCAGCGAAACAGTTTCATCACAGTAGTATCTTGCCAGAGAGTATGAAGAAGCAGCTTCAGGGCTACAAAGGCACAGTTACTAAGGTGAACCTAATCCCAAAGTGCCTGCAGGTGGCAAAAAAAAAAAAAAAAAAAGTGAAGTGGGGTAGTTAACCCCAGCTTTATGTTGCCTCCCATCTCCCCTCACCTAGGTAATACTACACACAGTTCTGCAGCACTTGAATACCTGAGGCAGAAGACACACCACTCCTAGAGAGTTTAGGATATAAGCAGAGAATAGGCATGGTGTAGTATGCAGGGGCTGAAAGAAGTCTTTCCTTTTGTTAGGGATTTCCTACTCTGTACAAGTGACAAGTTTCACTGTTGCCTGAAACTTTTGGTTAACGATCTGAATACAGTATAGGAGATTAAATTCTTGATGATTTATTTCACCTTAAGTAGTGTGACAGCATGTTTTTTTCCTGACTTGGTCCATACTGGCATCATTCCCAGTTTTACTGCAACAACACCAACTCTGACGGAATCTGTAGATCAAAACAGAACATGGATGCAACTCCACACTTAATATTTGAAAGAGCCCATTTCATAACCTGCAAAGTCCTATTAACTCAGATCTTAGTCCCATTAACTCAGATCTTTCCTAAGGAGCTGAAGGAGGGAAAACATCACTGACTCCCTCCATGTAGGCTGGGAATAACCTGTTCATTGGTTTTAAACCCATTAGTAGTAAAGTTCTATTTGTTCCAGTTGTGTTTGACAGAACATGCAAAACAGTTCCCCATTAAGTTCTGAACAATCAATGCTTCAGACTTTTTTTTTTTTAAGAAAATACAACGCCCATGCAAGTTAGTTTCACTAGAGCCAAACTAACGATTGAAAAGTTTACTGTAGTAGTTTCCTCCCACCCTGACCTCTGCATATTTTTGTCACTGTAACTAAACAGCAAAGGCAACCTGTCAAGTCTGTGTTCTGACAGTCCATGCCGTGAAGAACAGAACACTGAAGATGAAGAATAAATGCTTTAAAGTTTGAAAAAATGCTCTTTGTTCCAGTTTCCACCGTCATACCCAAGGATCTTGTCATGGATTTGCAGACTCTGTTGTTTGCTGTCAAATGATGTCACCCTTTTGAAGACTCAAAACCTTTATGTTGTGTTTTAGTCTGTAAGACTTTGGACATTAGGAAAAGGTTCTTCATTGAGAGGGTGGAACAGGCTCTCCAGGGAAGTGGTCACGGCACCAAGCCTGTCAGAGTTCAAGGAGTGTCTGGACAATGCTCTTAGCCTTTATGGTTTAGTTTTAAGTAGTCCTGTGAAAAGCAGGGAGTGGGACTCGATGATCCTTATGGGCCCCTTCCAACTTGAGATATTCTATGAATCACTGAAGTGGGACGTATTATATACTACAGGTTTTCTTCAGAGTCCAGCAATATTTACAAGAACATTTTCAAGTTCACATACTTTATATTCTAGGGAGTATTTTTTGATTAATTCTTAGTTTATTATCTTGTCATTGTCCAGCAGTGGGACTGGCCAAGTGCTGATTTGGACTGAAAACCTAAGTTCTTACGAGGTTCTTAACACCTTGTAATATTTTAAATGCTTTTTAGAGAACTAGTGTATTACATTTACTTATTTACTAGGAGATGTGTTGGATGATTGAGGTAAAAGCAAAAAGGAAAATACTTTACAAGACACAGTCCTGATGTTACTGCATGCAACAACACAACAACAATAATTTCAGCATGAGTTTAGTATTTCATAAGAGATATTTTCTCACCTGGTTTCCACTCGTTCAGTGGCCATGGCTCATCTTTTAGAGGGCACAGCTTGCTGGCTGTCTGAGCTTTGTATTCCTCTGCAGTTATCTTCTTGAGGAACTGGACATTCTCTTCAGAAAGGTGCTCGTGCCACCACGTTGCACTGTTAATGTGCCTGACTACCAAGCCCAGCTGCCCCCTTTCCAGTGATGGGAAAAAGTTTTAAGTGTCTTATCAGTTCAAACAATGTCTCATAACACGTATGTTCGTAATGTAATACATACTACATAATTACACCATTATATTATACAGTCATAAAGACCAAAATTATACTAGCAGACTATTCAACTACCATCATGGAAACTGGCCACACTGACCAAAAACAACTAATTATTTGTCGTGCTCCCATCTAACTTTTAAAGTATTCCAAAGTACACCAAAGAGGGGCAAGCAACAACAAATCAATCAACCACTCCTTTTAGGATAAAAAAAACCTAGAACCATGAACGAAGAGATAGCAGTGGGTGTTGTTTACTTTAACTTTAGCAAGGCTTTCAACACAATCTCCTGTGGCATCCTTCTATCCAAGCTGGAATGTTATGGCATGGATGGGAGGGCTATCAGATGGGCAAAAACCTGTCTGGATCATCAGGCTGAAAGAGTCCCGGTTAATGGTTTGCACTTTACCAGAAGGTCAGTTACAAGTAGAGTTCCTCAATAGTCTATCTGGGGACTTGTCCTGTTTAGTATCTTTATCAGTGACCTGTAAGAAGGGACGAGTGCACCCTTCTTAAGTTTGCAAATAAAAATGGAGGGAGCAGTTGCCAATGCTCAAGGGTGTCCCTCTGCTGTCAGAGGAACCGGCAACAAGGAAAGGAACCTGATAAAATTCATAAAGGAGAAATGCCAAGTCCCACACCCAGGATGGGATAACCTCTTGCAAGAGTATGGGCTGTGACTTCAACAGAGCTGCTCCCCAGCCAGGCAAAGGACCTGGGAGTCCTGGGGGGCCAAAAGGTAAAAAAGCAGCCAGGAGGCTTCTGGTAGCAATGAAGGCTAACAGCAGCCTGGGCTGCATCAACAGAAACACGGTCAGGAGCAGTTATCATCCTTTCTTCAGCACTCCAAGCAGACCATATCTGCAATACTAAATCCAATTTTGGGTCCCCAGGACAACAGGGATGTTTATAAATAAGCAAGTCCGGCAGTGGTGCACAAAGATACAGGGGCTGGAGCATTTGCCTTACGAGGAGGCTCGAGGTAACTGGGCTTGTCAGTGTGGAGGACGCTCAGAGGGGACCCGACAGCAGCTTTCCAATACCTGCAAGAAGGTTACTGAAGAAATGAGAGCCATGCCATGTTTACCGAGGTGCATGCCAGGAGAATGAGAGAATTGGTATCAACTGAAAAAGGGGGTTCTGATTTGACATAAGGAAAAAATATTCAGCCTGAGGACAGTCAAACACTGGAACAGGGGGCCTGAGACACTGTGCAGCCTCTGTCTGTGGAGGCCCTCAAGGCCCAAGCAGACAAAGCCCTGAACAACTTGGTCTGACCTCAGAGCTGGCCACACTGTGAGCAGCTTAGACTAGAAACCTCCTGAGCTCCCTTCCAGCCCCAACAACCCTCTCATTTTACATTCACTGCTAAACAGCTCACTGTACTGCCACAACTTTTATGAGGGCTAAGAAGAGCTTGAATGCTCCTCTAACCTCTGCAAGTACAATGAAACATGAGTATTTAACAATACAGTTAGCAAATGCACATGGCTAGTTGTAACAGCTGGCCAAATGATGCGAAACACAGGTCAAGTCACTCAGAATGAAGCAAAGATACTACCCCAGCCTCTGCAC